GGGTTAAGCTGGTATTAATCTCATAGAGGAGAGGGTTCTTACAATTCCAATTGAGCATCGTTGCAACGCCACAGCCTACCTGAGTATTGTTGCTGACCATGTCCATCCCTTTATGACCACAAAACCGTTACTAGCGTGGTGTACCTAATAAAGTGGCCGGTGAGTGTACATGATGGTTTTGACTAAATATTGGCTCTCACCAAGAAAAAACTCAAACAAAGACCCAGTACACTGCAAAAACTGTCCATCTTACCAAGTTTTAAAATCTTATATCCTGACAAAAAGTCTTTTTGATCTTGTTTTGAGACTGATTTACTAAACAATAACTGATTGTGTAAGAATAATAATCTTGTTTTCAGAATGTGTAAGATTATTTGTCTTGTTAGTCTGAAATTTTGACTCAAATTATGTCAAAAATTTCCGTCAAATGGAGTAAGAAAATTTTACTTAGTGAGATTCTTGAAATAAGAAAAAATTGAGTCAGATCAAGTATTTAAAGAATCTTACCAAGTAAAATTTTCTTACTCCATTGGCAGAAATTTTTGACTTGATTTGAGTCAAATTTCTAGAATAACAAGACAAATAATCTTACACATTCTGAAACCAAGATTATTAGTCTTAAACAATCAGTTCTTGCTCAAAACAAGATCAAAAATACTTTTTGGCTGGATATAAGATTTTAAAACTTGTTTAGGTGGACATTTTTGCAGTGTACCACTAGAATCCTACATCAAACAACAACAGGACATTTCCCTCCAAGAAAAACTCTAGAAACTGGTTATACTGAGATGTGTTGCTCATATAAAAAAACAAAAATACTAAAATACTTTTACTGTGTTGCACCGTATGCATTTATGAGATTTGCAAATAATGACTTTTTTTTTTACATTTTACACAAACTTCTCTCTACTACACCTACTTGAACTTTTCAAACTTGTGGTTGTAATCAAGAAAAGAAGTAAGTTAATTAAAAATATCCTATCTGAGCTTTATTCTGCCTTTTTTTAAACTGAGGAATAAACTAAAAACAAACAAGTCAAAGTTAAAACTGTATTAAGAAAAATATTCAGCTTTGCAGCAGTGTTTTGTTTGCACAATCTTTTAGTTGGGATTTTATTTATTTTTTTTACACAAATTTACAAGGATTTCGTGCCACGCACTTAACAAAAAGATGTCAAGCTGAAAATGACGAGCGCAGTCTGCAGCGACCTCAAATGTCCTGAGGTCGCTCAGATATTAAGAATTTTCTAATCACATCTTAAAAACTCAAGTGAATTTCTAAATTTAGCAATAATTTCACCACTTTTTAATTCTGATCAGAAATAGCAGGATGATCAACTGAGTTGTCAGGAGGGGGGACTAAAGGGGGGTGAACTGAAAATACCTGTGTGGGCGCAGTAATTTGCAGTGATTGAATCTGCTTTGGGATCAAAATGCAACACAACACATTTGGAACGGTAAGTTGAAGGGCCCTTTAGGAGAAGCCCGACGAACTGCGTGGTTGAAAATTTAATAACAGAAGTCATCCTAGTGAACACGTTCTGCCCCGGAGGGTAAATCTGACTCAAGACCAACATCACAGAAGGGCAAAACAGGAGCACACTCGGTTCTTTATATTTTGAAAAATCATGTGAGCTAGAGAACACGGTCTGACGACAAGGAGTTAAACCAGAGTGGGACTGCAGTGGAAGTCAGCTCGGGTTGTCAGACGGGGGGGTATGTAGGTCACCAGAAAGATAAATTAACAACAGCTGGAGAGATACCACTGCTTGTACGGTAGGGGTACTTCAAGAGTTTATTACATGCGTACTTTGGTGGATTTACTGAATCATATGATGTGTTTTTATAAAAAAAGTTTACTAATCAGTTGTTCTGTGGGGGGGAACTGCTGGTTTTATCTCAGGAGTGCGTTTGTATAAAGTGGAAGAGAGAACTTACACCAAGTTATTGAGTGACGCCAACGTCAGCTGCTGTTGTTGTTGTTGTTGTTGCTGTGAGACCGCTGGTTGCTGTTGCCAGGCAGCCATGTTGCCAGGCACCAGCCCTGGTGGGGTAAACGTCTGAAGCGCGGTGAGTTCAGCGCTCGTCAGCTGGTAGTCTGGGATTAAGGGGATAGAGATGGAGACAGAAGGAGAGAGAGATGGAGAAAAGAGATGATGAGGAGGGCTGGTGGTGATGTGTGTGTGTGTGTGTGTTTGTTTTTGGTGACATTTGGGGGCAATTTTAAGACAAAAATCCTACATTTGGGGATGAAAGTCGAGTCCCTGTTTGGTTTAAATGCCATTGGTGGGTTGGGGGTTGGGTTTAGGACCAAGGTGTGAATTGAGTTTAGGTTAGTTTTAGGGTCAGGTAGGTACTTGTGAGGTTAGCCTTAGGGTTTGTGGTCAGGGTTAAGGGCTCGACACATGGGGAGAAACAAACTACAGCGATTAACGGCTGTCATCACAGCCAGGATGAAACCCGACACACGGGATGCGATAGCGATCGCAGCGTTGCGAATCGCGCTCTCAGGTCGCTTGTCTTCACGAAATTTGATTGGTTCTTAACTCTGAAGGCGGGTGTGCATTACGGACGTGTAAACTAAACAAATCTTGCGATGCTAATGATAC